GCATGATACGGGTTATGTTCTTCTCATATATTTTATGATGTATGATACTAAACCCCTAACGGGAGGGATTGTGCTTGATTTTCATATGATGAAGACATAATCTTTCAATCAGTTTAATTGAGGTCTGGAGCTGGCATGTCAGTAACTGCTAGTAGTCCTTTGTTAATTTTTATCATTATCATTTTGCTTAGTTTCTTCTGTTACCTATTCTGACATCGGACTCGGACTTCTTTTAAACTGAGTTTTACTGTGCGTATTGCTGTGTGTTTGTTTATTCTACATTGGCTAGAGGTATAGGGGAGGGTTGAGATCTCACAAAACATGTTTAACCCCACAGGCATTTTTCGCCTGTCCCAAGTCAGGAGCCTCTGGCCTTTGTTAGTCTTGTATGGTTTTTTTCTAAATTTTAGTTCTATTATATGCTTCGGAGTTTAGCGTGACGTCTATTTTCACTGAAATAGTACACATTTTTGTATAGGGGCCAGCCGGAGCCCGCCTCCGGGTGCGGGATTTTCTCGCTGAGTTGAAGACCCATAGGTGACCTTGGGCTTTTTTTTTGCTCTTTGGTCGGGTTGTTGTCCCTTTGACCTGGGAACAGTATATCTAACAATATATATGTTCCTGCTTTGACACATTCCCCATTTCCATTCTCAATTTTAACGTTCGATTATGTCATTTTGTATGGGCATCCCCCTTTTAGAATTTACCCTCGGGTTCGGTAGTTTTGTTAATAATTTTTTCATATGCAAGGTATTGAGTATGGGTTTCTTCCAGTAAATTCACCCGACCTGAACCCCGTTGAAATGTGCTTTTCAAAACTAAAAACTATTATAACACAAACAAATTTTAAGAAACTTTTTAGCCAAAACCTTAAGTTATTATAGCAGTTATTAAGGCAATTCAGGATATAAACAAGTCCGATAATAAATGGATTTTATAGGAATAATGGATATTTAAATATTTAGCGGTTTTTTGTTTCATTGTAACGGGGAATTTTTATAATAAATTGTTTTGAAGATAGAGTTTGTACATGAATCTATACAAAAAGGAAGTAAGCTTTAATTCTGTATCTGTCTGTCCAAAGTCATGAGCCTGTAATTCAGTGGTTGTCGATTGTTGCTGTATATCATACATGTTTTTCGTTGATTGTTTTGTGCATATATCAGGCCGTTAGTTTTCCGTTTGAATTGTTTTGCATTTGTCATTTCGGGACTTTTTATAGCTTACTATGTTGTATAAAAATAAGGAGATGTGGTATGATTGCCAATGAGACAACTATCCACCAAAGTTCAAATGAAGTGGATGTAAGCAATTATAGGCAACTGTACGGCCTTCAACAATGAGAAAAACCCATACCGTATGGTTGACTATAAAAGGCCCCGACATGAAAAATATGAAACAATTCAAATGAGAAAACTAACGACCTAACTTATAACAAAACAGTTTACGATAAACAAATATAACAGACATGAACCAACGAAAACTACTAAACTACAGGCTCCTGACTTGGCACAGGCACATAAAGAATGTGACGGGGTTAAACATGCTTTTGAGCGCTCAATCCTCTCCTAACCTGGGACAGTGGTGTAACAGTACAACATAAGAACAACTATAAAAATCAGTTGAAAAAGGCTTAACTCATCAGATGGATACAAATAGAAATACATCTAACAAAAACACGAAGTGAACGTGGACGGGTACTTATACATCCCAAAAACAAAATGTCACAAAGTACAGATCTGGGAGTACTCGCAGTTACTGACAGCATGTTCAAAGCCAATAACAACTAATGAAAACAGTCATGTATCTAAGACTAAAATATCAATCAGTACACATCCATCATACAATGGATTTAGTGTAAAGACGTCATTAACAGTCAGAAAAAAACATGACATTATGCAATGCTAAACTATAAGTATCGACAGATAGTAGTACCGTGAAAGAACATATGTGTAATATTTAGTATGGTTTTAATTCACTGATTTAAATACATCGTTGAATAGGTAACCTTTTAGAATAAGTTTATTTAAAGGATTGATAAGTTTACCCGGATCGTATCTAAATTTTCAGGCTCGGTTTACAACATCACCGTAAAATTTAGGATGTGCTATTCCGTTTGAAATAAGTTTTCTACAGGTACAGCCAAACTTGCACACTAAATATTTGTATCTTTTGTGGATCTCCTGTAGTTGCTGATCGCAATACTGGTATTTTGTACCAGTATTGTAACTTTAAAAAAAAACCAGCAATACTGGTACATTACTGATAACCCAGTATTGTTGCCTATACTTTAACATGTTTAAGGTGTATAATAAAAAAAAATGAATTTTAAACAAAATTGGATATTGAAGATCAAAGGTGGATTAAATGAACTTAAAAAGATTAAAGAGGAATATTGTGAAATTAATCAACAACCAGTTAAAAATAATCACACAAATAAACAAGATATTATTGTAATTAACTCATATTATTCCAACAATTATTAATTATATAAAATAATTGCTATTCATTTTATCATATTTCTATGTTTTATTTAATTCAATTTAGGTAAAATAAAATAAAAGCTTATTATCATCTGAGTTATTGTTTAATAAATTCAAGCAAATTATTACACTCTAACATGTCTAACACTCTGAATTCAGTATTTACATGTATGCCAACATATATTTTTTACAGATATTTTAATACATGTAACTATACTAAGATTATATGCATTTGTTGGTCTTTATTTTCTAATTAATCTTTCACAATAAAAAAGATATCAATATCCATTAAACATAAACAGTTGCTTAATAGGGGAACCTGATTATAATCAATTTACCTACATGAATGTTTAGGGTAATTAAAGCAGATGATTCAGAACCATGGGCAACACAATTCGTAGCAGATATATCAACTGGTACAAATACTGTCTAGTACTAGACAAACACTCCATCCACTACGATAGTAAAAGAGCCGTACAAGTGCCATCTGAAGAAGCTGGTCATATTGTTAAGCGTAAGAGAATGTCCACAGAGACTCGAGACTCAATGCCAATACAGAAAGAGGAGGGTTGCAGAAATGCCATCTGAAGAAGAAATAGACAAAACTAATGCTGATGATACAGCAGCTATAACAGCAATGTCAATATAAAATTCACTAAAATATACTATGAGTTTTGGAAAGAGAGCACTAGAGCTGAAAGAAAAGATAGAAGAAAATAAAGAGTTTGTTGAAATGATGGGACAGTACTGTTCCCTTAAGAAAAACAAAACAGAATATTTAAAACTTTCATTGATGACAATCGCAGTGTATCATCATTTAAACATACAATATATATGTCTAATCATTCCTTATAAAATTGTCATGTCATATGTTAATTTCATTATACATATTTACTTGACACCTTTAATAAATTTAAAGATTAATTACCTATATGCATTGTTTATTTAAAAAAAACACATTACTGGTACAATACTGGTATACAATACTGGTACAAAACTTTTATACCAGTATTGTGCACAATACTGGTATAAAAGTTTTGTACCAGTATTGTATACCAGTATTGTACCATACTGGTATAAAAGTTTTGTACCAGTATTGTATACCAGTATTGTACCAGTGCACAATACTGGTATAAAAGTTTTGTACCAGTATTGTATACCAGTATTGTACCAGTATTGTGGGTTTTTTTACGCTCATTAAAATCCAAAACGTCACTACAAACACGAGCATAGCGAACGAGTTTGGATATATAAACATCATGAGACGGTGCCAAAGGAACATCACCGTCCAAAAAGGGAAAGTTAACAATATGGAAAGAAAAATCATCCCTTTTGTCGTAAATTTTTGTGTAGCGTTTCTGGTGTAATACTGAAATATCTAAATCTAAGAAAGGACAGTTATTGCTGTTGATATTAGATTTATTTAAAGTAAGTTCCTTTGGGTAAATTTCAGCAGTATAGTTAGAGAATTCTTGATTATTTAACGAAGAATATATTCAAGATAACGGTAAGTGTTGTTGAATTTATCAATTAAATGGAATTTAGACGGTTCTTTACTGAGTTTGTGTGGGTTTTACTCATAGTTGAAGGCCGTACGGTGACCTATAGTTGTTAACTTCTATGTTATTTGGTGTCTGGTGCAGAGTTGGTTGTCTCATTGGCAATAATACTACATCTCCTCTTATTTTTATAGTGTCGTTTGACACTAGCCTATTCCATTAGCATAATGAGTAGACGTCTTTTAACTTTACAAAAAAATATATCTAACACGCCATACATGAAATAATAACATGAACTGGAATATTTTTCCTAATATTTTCTTGCAAACTTGTAGATTCCTGTTTTTCTATATCTTTAAAACGTCGAACTTGTGAAATGAAACAAAAAAAAACTAGATCTCATTGAGATGGGAGCCATCTCTGTGGGCCCCGCTGTGAATAATGTGCGTTAAAAAAAATGTATCTTACCATAGGACATGGGGTTGTGAACTGAAACCAAAGTTTTTGACCTTGACCTTTGACCTAGGAAGTTGTACATAAATTATGACACACCCTTTGGTGTTGGTTAATATACATGTCAAGTATAAACTTTGAAATCATAACGGTTCTCTAGATATAGAATGGACACAATTTGTTACGGACGGTCGGACGGACAGACAGACGGACGGATAGACGGACGGACGGACAGACTATTTAAATCTATTTCAATTCATGCTGTCCGTCTTACATTTTATAAAAATCTTAAATTAGGTTTTAATTGATTCGAACTCTATATCGCCAAAGGAAGACAAAAACGAATGTTATGCCGCTTTAACAGAATTTCAACGTATAATACATTAATTCAAGTGACATTAAAAATATACTTCCTACCTAACACGAAAAATGTGAACGTGAGTTGTGAAGTTCATTACGATCAAACGTAAATACTGTCTATAATAAATTAACCTTGAGAAAACCTTCTGATGTATGACGAGGTATCAAATACAATAAAAAACAATACAAATTTGCTATGTAGTAAATAAACGTTATCAGTAGAAAATAAAGTATCAAATAAAACATTTTTGTGTATGGTTATATTAACACTGAATTAAAAAATAATCTTTGAGTATAGTGATCAATAGTTTGGTGAAAGCATAACCAGGATGGTCATTTCATACGTCATAAAGATACTTAATATAACTTCATCAATTTGATCAATATTATAGGGAAATCCGTGATCTCTAAAGTACGGCGAAATTTTCACATATGCAAATATTGCCGGAAATATCGTAAAGCATAGACAACAAATATGTATGTTTTAAGAAGCGTTTGTAGATGTGGTTTACACAGCCAGGGATTAATTAAACAAATAACAATGGGGAAACCTGTTTGGAAATCCAAAATGAACTCAGTTTCTTCAATACAGGTAAAGTATAAATATAACTTATACCTCTTTTTGTTTGATTATACACTTAAACGCTTTTTCATAAATGTTAAGCCTGAAACTCGCAACCTAAACCTCTCTTTCTTTCTCTCAATACCAAACAAAAATAAATGGAGAATGGGTCCCCATGGACACAGATGATGCCCCCGCTTGCATACAACATTATAAAGGGACATAACTCAAGAACAATAAAAGTGACGCTACCCAAATTTGTACTTGATTTGAGTTTTGTGGTAATAAGTATTGTGTATAGGTTTCATAATGTTTGGTTGGGGCAAACTTAAGTTACAGAACGGAAACTAAAAATTTTGCAATTTTTCGATTTACAAAGGGGCATAACTCGATAATGATTAAAGTGACGCCATCAAAATTCAACTTGATCTGTGTTTTGTGGTAAAAAGCATTGTGTATAAGTTTCATAACATTTGATTCAGGCAACTTAAGTTAGAGAACGGAAACTAATTTGCATTTTTTCCATTTATAAAGGGGCATAACTCGAGAATGGTTATAGTGATCCCACCAAAATTCAAACGTGATCTGTATTTTGTGGTAATAAGCATTGTGTATAAGTTTCATAACATTTGGTTGAGGCAAACTTAAGTTAGAGAACGGAAACTAAAAATTTTGCAACTTTTCCATTTATAAAGGGGCATAACTGTAGAACGTAAAGGTGACGCCACCAAAATTCAAACTTGATCTGTGTTTTGTGGTAATAAGCATTGTGTATAAGTTTCATAATATTTGGTTGAGACAAACTTAAGTTGAAGAACGGGAACTAAAAATTTTGCAATTTTCCATTTTTAAAGGGGCCTAACTCTAGAACGGTTAAAGTGACGCCACTAAAATTCAAACTTGATCTGTGCTTTGTGGTAATAAGCATTGTGTATAAGTTTCATAATATTTGGTTGAGGCAAACTTAAGTTAGAGAAAGGAACTAAAAATTTTGCAATTTTTCCATTCATCAAGGAGCATAACTCTAGAATGGTTAGAATGACGCTACCAAAATTCAAACTTGATCTGTATTTTGTATTTTGTGGTAATAAGCATTGTGTATAAGTTTTATAACAATTGGTTGAGGCAAACTCAAGTTAGAAAACGGAAACCAATTTTGGGACGTACGTACGTTCAGACGGACAAGGGTAAACCTTAATGCCCCGCTACGGCGGGGGCATAAAAATGCATACCGTATTTCATTTGGATCATGACCTTCTCATCCCTGCTTTTCTCTCTCTTTATATACCAAAACCAAAAATACATTCTGTACTTTATTTGGAACTTGAACTTCTGAGCCGTGCTTTGTCCTTGATATTAGATTGGATATTCGCGTTTTAAAATTGTAATATGTATATGGGCTGTTAAGACGATTCATGCATCTTATCAATAAATTCATCATATACATGTACTAGGCTTAAAATTGTGTACACCAGATGCGCGTTTCGTCTACAAAAAACTCATCAGTGACGCTCTATTAAAAAAAAAATAAAAGGCCAACCTGTTCCATGGGTTAAAAAAAAACCTTAGTATTTAGAAAAAAATCAAAGTTTTGTAAACAATTAATTTATAGTTATAACCATATCAATGATAATTCATGTAAGTCAAAGTACATTTGCACCTTAAATTTAATTCGAATGACTGTGAATCCTTTGTGTTTATTGATTATTGAATAAATACTACAATGAAACACATAAAATGGTTAGCTGTAGCAGAGCATTAAGCCCTCAAAGACATTATAACCTTGGTACGTGAAGAACAATCAATACTTACATGGTGTTTTGCATGTTTACTTTACAGAAATTACGACATAACTAAACTACAATATTGAATGAATGGACTTTAATAAAAAGATATAACTTTTAATATCAATTTACGTAATTTTGAAATGTTATAACCTTATAAGGGCGACAGTGTAGTGTGATCTCTAATATGTATGTACAATATCATAACATGTACAATTAACTGCAACTGAACTACTAATAACTTTCTTCAGACTCGGCAAAGTGTTATGGTACATTGTTTGATCTTAAGCATAAAAGCATGAGTGGGAGAAAAAAAGGAGTAAAGGGCAAAATAAAAACAACCACGAGGCAAACATGAAAACATCCAGAACAAATGAGCTGGTCCTTAACTATTTTTAGACACATGAATGATGAAGAAAATTATAATAACCACCAGAGTAAATGTTGAAAAAAACTATTCAACATATAGAAAAATCAAAAGTCTAGGTACATGTAGCTGCATTTACCAACATACCAAATAAATAGTTGTTAACAGAGCCGTCTGTTTGTCGTCTGTCTGTCTTAAATACAACTTGGGTTCTGGAATTAAATTTCAGGTAAACTATTTAATAAAATTGATTGATTGCCCACTTGCAAATATTTCCTGCATATTCAGGACGAGAGAAAAAATGCACAAATTCAATAGAGAAAATCTACAAAGCGAATCGTAGGGCCAAATTTTTGAATTGCATTGGAAAATGAGGGTATGTTGGATAGTGCGATAGACGAGGCTTCGGATTTGACATCCCCATTCTAAAAGCCTCGGACGTGGCTGTGTAGTTATACAGCCCGTGCACCAAAACGAGGCCTCTCTGTACTGTTGGATGGGATAAGTCTAGGGATAACCGTATTTATATACTCCAGTCAACCCTTGTGGTTTATGTAATTTGACTAGAGTAGACTCATTCAAATAACAGCATGTCTTCATTCAATTTTAATTGCTGATGTGTAAAAGTCTCCCTTCATAGTCAAATAAAGTATCCTCGTCATCAAATGTTTAAGGCCATAAGTCACAATTCCATTATCAGTACCCAACCTAATCGATCTTACTAAAAATATCTATATACTGTAACATATAAAAAAAGCCCTACAAAATTGCGTGGACAGCTTTTTATTTTCGTACATATGTAAGTGCTTCTGTCAAATTTACTTTCACTGTTACAAAGTCAAACGAGATCAGTAATGTATCAATATACAAACAACTACATATTTAAATCAGCATCAGTGTGTTTTTCGTGAGGTTTTAAAAGATGATAATTTGTTAAAAGGGTATGTCAGTTCTAGAGAATCGGAAACTCGTAACTGATAAACAAGTTAGGATTCCCCCCATAAAAAACTTTGAGAGCGAGGGAATTGATTATACTTTTATGGCTTCGACTAAATTGGTTCGAGGCGATGAATGTAAGTATTTTATCTCGTGATAAGAGTAAACTTCAATCTTGTTCCATTTGGGTTGGTATAGAAAATATTAGCTTTTCTTTATTTTAATGTTTTGAAGGGAGTATATGTTCAAGTAAGGAATTTAGCTACAAAGGACGAGGTTGACGAAAACGTGAAGAAATTCAGATCTGGAAATTATGAAACAATCCCAGACCCTCAACGTTTGCAACACTTCAAGTACGTATCTGCAAATCATAAATAAGTAAAAAGTGTCTGGTGCTTGGAAATTTTAAAAGGTGAAAAATTGAATTAAAAGGTTTGTTATGGTTATTGCTCGACCGCGTAATGCAGGTCTGAAGTATAAAATAAGCAGCTGCGCCTACGACCTTCTTGTGGAATTGATGTCAGAATAAAATGAATACTTAAAAGACAACTCGGAAGTTATTAAATGCGTTTGTAGAAAAACTAACGTGAGGATATCATTCGTTGTATGACATTTGTCTTAAATATGATTGTTAAAAAGTCACACAACTCTGGAACGAAAAACCAGAAACTTCCAAAATCAAAAGCAAGCCTGCATTCACAAATCCCAACAACAGTGTAAGGTTTGTAGTAATTAAATCCAAGAATATTATAGCTGTTTCGTGCACGTGACATGTTAAACACTGCTTTAAATCTGACGGTTAAAAGTACCATAACTCTTGAATGACAAATGAAAAAATTCAATATCAAAAGGTAACTTACTTTCACCAATTTCAACAACTGTGTAAAATTTCCAATTAATCTATCCTAGCATACTCAAATCAGGGCACATGTGAAAAGTTTACTTACATCTGAAAATTAACCGTAACAACAGTTCAACATACCAGAAAATTTTCAAAATAAAAAGGGGGTTTCTATTTATTTTGAGTGAAAAGTTTTGAGGAAATCCATCCAAACATACTAGAAATAGTGCGTGATATGTGAAAATGTTCAAGTATTATCAATAAAGTCCGATTACTATGGAATAACAAAAATAAAAATCCTGAAAATTGATGCAAAGTTACTTTGATATATTCTAGTCCTGTGATACAATTTCAGTGAAAAGTAGCACAGCAAAGTTGAGTTATCATTGTACAACATTTTAATAACTATCAAATTTTCCATGAATTAAGTCCTTTAAATCTGGATGACAAAATTTGAAATTATCAAAATCGAAATGGAGCATTCTTCAGTCAATCCTAGTGTAGTTTTAACGAGTGTTGGTGAAAGCAAATTTGAGTCATCGCAAGAAGTGTTGATATGCAGACGGACGGACAGACAACGGTTTACCATAATAACGTCTACGCGAAGTTGGTATACATTTCGTGCCAACTTGCACTAATTAAAGTAAGATGCTTAAAAATATCATACAGGTACTCCTACAAATGATTGAGAAGTAAACTTACATGAACCAAAATTGTTTTTAATCAATCAATAATAATGCTTTTCATTAAATAGAAAAAGCCAAGGAAATGATTCAACAATACCAAAAGATGAAACTCCTCCAATTGGAGCAAATGCGTTGCCTCATCCAATATGGTAAGGTACCAAGATTGATATGCTGTATTATAAATGTGTTACATTAGTATTTGATACATCAGTTTACATGAAAGTGTACATCATTCAAAAAATTCTTTAAAAATCAAAAGTGTACAGCAAATATTCTGGAATGAATTTGCTCAATTTGACAATAAGAATATATGGTATGTATACATTCAAACTTTAGCTAAACTAAAAAACAACGAGTAGCCGGTAAAAAATTTAATCATACGGAAAATCACCATTCCCCCATGCATGCAAATTCGCTTATGCTTACCTTGTCCAAATTGAACAGTGTTTAAAATTGATCTATATTCTCTATTTTCTAAGTATATACCCATACATATATACAAATGTGTGTGTCATAAGCAAAAGCGACACAGACAAAGTAGAAATTACTTTTAAATAATGGGAAAAAAGATTCGGACCGAAAAATTGTCATATCATTCGAATAATTATTAGTTTAATTCCTCATAGGTCTGAGGAAGAAGTCCATAATGTTGAAGTTACACATAAACCTCCAGAGGGTAAAGTTGACAAGGTAAGTATGCAATTGACTAGTATTACAAAACTTTCGAGTTCTGTAAGTTCCAAGATAAAGGCTGTGGACCAATAGATTGTAACAATTATAAAAATTAGATGTGGTATGCTTATATCCGCTTCATTTGGTCTTTGTTGAATTGTTGTCTCTTTGGCAATCCTATAACATTTCCTTTTTTATAGAACATTTCTACCTTATTCCAACATTTGCCCAAGTAAACAAAATCACTCAATACGGAACAATTGACCGAAAGTGCTTCTTCGCACACAACGCATCAACAAAAATGAAGTCAAAACTCTATTTATAGTACATATAGCCAAGATCGAAACAGATTTCTTTTGACTGAGTTCACAGACCTCTCTGTTTTTACGGGAGTAACACGAAAGGTGTCGCATGTGGAGCACGACCTGTTTACCCTTCCGGAGCACCTGAGAATACCCATGCTATTGGTGTGGTTCGTGTTGCTCAGTCTTTAGTGTTTAGTGTTTAATGTTGTATTTTGTTGTTGATTGCCCCGTCCTTAGTATCCTTCGCCTCTCTTTTCTCTCAAAATGTCCATCGTAACTACTCAGTCATTCTCGCTACACCTTTAAAAAAACTAGGTGTGTCTAGGATGTCCGAAAAATAATAAGAGCACAGGAGCATTAAAAGACATTGGTGTTTTGTAGATGGCCTATTATACTGTAAAACTAATGAGAGGAACTTTTGATACACTGAGTGGTTTCAACAGAGGGGAAAGAAACGAACGCAAATGGGTCCTGTGAGTATTCTTATCTGCAAAAGTATTCATTTGCTAATTAAATGAGAGTTTCATTGTTGCTTGCTTGGCATTTATTTCATGCGCATTCAGGACTAGGAACCAGTAACAATTATAATACAATAGAAAAGTACTGGAATATAGGCCGACCGGTATGAAGGGCGGGAAATTTGGACTGCTGCTGAAAAAGTATTTTGGATGGGAGCAGAAATTTAGCCTTTGAACAGGCTCCCTACAGAACGCCAAAAGAGTTGTCGAAAGGTTTTTTTAAGGAGCAGAGAGCGTTGCATTCTCTCTACACGACGCATCGGATTTAACGTCCCCATTCCGACCGAATGTGGCTGCGTATTTATACATCCCAAATAATCGAACGGACGCCTCACTTTGGCAAAGGTTATATCTATGTTAAAAAGAGTTACATAGGATTGAACTTTTTTACAAATACATTTATCATTATTTAGACAACTGAAAACATACAATTGACTCTTTTTAATAGTTAAGAATGTAGTGACAAGTTAGGGTTTTAATGACTTCATGATGTAAGAGGCATTGTGGAAAGACGAATTTGACCGTTGGGAATAGTATACGGACCTTATTAGTACAGAGCATAGTAAAGCCTTGTATCTTACGTGTATGGTTTGTATTGTTATCTGCCTCAATGCATACACATCACTGTCGAACTATATAATTATACGCATATCGACGTAAAAAGTGCGTGTGTTAAAAATACTAACATTGTATGGAAAATGTTTTACAGAACATTTTGTTCATTACAGACGAATATGTTTCCTAGAAACAGTTGCGGGTGTCCCGGGTATGGTGGCCGCCATGTTAAGACATTTAAGTTCTTTAAGACGAATGCAAAGAGATTATGGTTGGATCCATACTCTTCTAGGTAAATGTAATTCATTCTTCTCCTTTGATCGTTAGTGGACAATTGTTTTATATGCAGTCACACAGCATCTCCTTATTATGTATTACTGAGTAACTAGACAAACTTAATAGCTAATGTGTATTCAACTTTCAGCCATAAAATGTCGGTCTCGTAAATTGTCATATAAGTGTATAATTTGTATTGCTCAGGACTGTATTTAGTTTCAAACATATAAGTCATTTGTTTTAATGCTCCATAGTAGTACCATTCCCTCACTCCATGTCATTATTTCCTAGTGTACTTTTTCCAAGTAAGCATAGTTTTCATATAAGTTTCTCCGCTCGTTTTACTGTCAAAAGAAAAGACTGGTCCAAGAGGTGGCATTATAACGTGGGTGCATTGTACAGATTATTCGTAATATGAGCGAATAGTTAGGCAGAAAAGTGAGAGAGCAGTTTTGAATAGGAGCCAATCACATGGTTTGCGTAGAATTCTATCCTTCTAAATGATCAAAATTGAATGTTATTCAAATTAACATCCTTTATTAATTCAGAAGAAGCAGAGAATGAAAGAATGCACCTTATGACAGCATTGCAGCTACGTAGACCAACAAAGATATTTAGATTGGGCGTGGTTGTATCACAGGGTAAATATACTGGTATTCAGTGCTACTTAAGAAGCAATTGCACGATATTTAAAAAATACACGGAAAACAAAAAAAATTAATGGCCGGTCGAGGAAACACTCACAAATGACAAAACAAAAATTAAGCATCCAACCCCCGAAATGAAAGAAAAAAAACAATAATAGAAACTAGGGGCTCTCAAGAGCCTGTGTCGCTGACCTGGACCAATGTGCATCTTCAACAATGGTCACTCTCCAACATTGAAGACTGGAATATAATTCATGACTAAAATCTCTTTTTTTTAATCGTGTATTGTTGATCATTTGCACGTAAAGTTGTCTTTTAGGGAATTAACTCTATAAAAAGTCGTCCAATATTGGCTCATTGGAGATCTTGCCTTGTGAGATGATAGGCAAAAACGCTGTTATAAAATGATAAGCAATAACGTTATTTAAGGTCAATACCTTTTTTTTAAAGTCAACGGACGATTTTGGCCATTCTGACTTATTAGTAGATCTTGTCTTTCTGGACATTTTTTAGTCCCCTACCGACAAAGTCGAAGGGGACTTTAGGTTTGCACTCTGTCCGTCTGTCCATCCGTCAGTCCGGCAACTCAGTTTTCCACACGTTTTTTCTTCGTTCATGAAGATATTGATTTGATATTTGGTATATAGTTTTATCATGACAAGTTACAGATCAAGTTCGAATTTTATTCCGGTCTGATGATTTAGTCCAGAGTTATGGTCCATAAAAAAACTTAATAACTTATGTTAGAGTACTATGTTAACCCATAATATCTGTACAGAGGGAGATAACTCATTTATATGTTATTTTGTATAAACTAATTTTCTGAATGCTACATGTATATATATTAATTGTCGAAATCCGGATATGGTGTACAAAAACCTTTGCACCTTTTGTTTGCGGTATACCATCTTTTCCGCAAGTTTATTGTTTTCTGTTTAGTATTAAATTTATAATTAAGATCCATTTATTACATCGGTGATCCGTTTATTTGGCAATCGCCAATGGCAGTCAGCAGGGTTTAAGAACATTTGTTGTTCGACCTGTTACTCAAATGCGATTTGTTAAAATATACTTTTTCACTTTTTTGGTCTTTTGGAAAATGTTGTTTGTGCTGTATTTAGATCCCTCTTACAAGAAATTTGTTTTGCATGCACACGTATAAAAATTGCGGTTTTTATCCAACGCAATCATAGGTTTGAACGTTGTTTTCAATTTAGACTTGCTTATACTTTTTCGTTTGGGCTTGTATTATATTTGCCTTCGGGTTTATATGATCCGTTCATCCTATTTTGACTCCTCAAAATTCAAGAGTCTACCCGAAATTGAGGTAAATTGTATGGCTTTCCAAATACCGTTTCGATTCCTAACATCACTAAAGAGACATTAATTGTCGAAATCCGGATATGGTGTACAAAAACCTTTGCACCTTTTGTTTGCGGTATACCATCTTTTCCGCAAGTTTATTGTTTTCTGTTTAGTATTAAATTTATAATTAAGATCCATTTATTACATCGGTGATCCGTTTATTTGGCAATCGCCAATGGCAGTCAGCAGGGTTTAAGAACATTTGTTGTTCGACCTGTTACTCAAATGCGATTTGTTAAAATATACTTTTTCACTTTTTTGGTCTTTTGGAAAATGTTGTTTGTGCTGTATTTAGACCCCTCTAACAAGAAATTTGTTTTGCATGCACACGTATAAAAATTGCGGTTTTTATCCAACGCAATCATAGGTTTGAACGTTGTTTTCAATTTAGACTTGTATATATATATATATATATATATATAGAAGTCTATAAAAAGGACCAACCAGCAAATTTACTATGTACCGGATCGTCTAGAATAGACGATACTGTGCAGATAAGGAAAAAAATTATATAAGTCTAGAGATTTGCACAACGATACTAATATAAGATGGTATTATACGAAGATATTGTTAATAAATCGTATTGACAAATATTTCGGCTTAACAAATAGCCTTCTTCAGTGTCAATTATTTTAACAATACTGATTATATGTATAAAAATAGCTCAATACGATTTATTAACAACATCTTCGTATAATACCATCTTATATTAGTATCGTTGTGCAAATCTCTAGACGTTCAAACCTATGATTGCGTTGGATAAAAACCGCAATTTTTATACGTGTGCATGCAAAATATATATATATATATTATTAAGTGAAATCCTTTAATTAGATAATAATCTATTTTTATTATGGTATATATTTCATTACATTACATTGTGTAGATACAAGTTGTTGACATTTTATAGATAAGTTACAAATCTTTATTAGTTTGTGACAAATGAAAGAAAAAATATTTGGAACTATTAATTATATTTGATTGTAATTTGAAATTAGATATACATTGTATTACGTCATATCTAATTTTAGAGAACTATTAATCATATCTAATGTTAGAGTGTTATAGGTTTTCCTCACTTTTTTTCATCATGCTTGAAGATATTGATTGACAATTGGTATACAGTTTTATCATGACAAGTTACAGATCAAGTTTAAATTTTTGTTTCGGTCTGATAATTTTGTGTAGAGTTATGGTCCTTGGACTTGAAAAAATTCACTCATATTCAGTTTTCCACACTGTTTTTAGTCATGCTTGAAGATATTGACTTGATGTTTTCTTTTTGTTTACACCATGACAAGTTATAGAACAAGTTAGCATTTTGTTCCAGTATAATGATTTTTTACCCGGTAGGGGACTATGTATTGCCATGCAATACTCTCAGAATGCTTGTGATATTTAAAGTTACTTTCTATCGGTTATAGTTTTCAAGATAATATTCAAAACCTTTTGGAAACAGTATTTAAAGGGCAATAACTCCTATAAGAAGTCGTCTCACTGTTATGATTTAAAGGGAAAGTAGACAGACTTCAACATTCTGAACAATTCTGTCTCTGTCTTGGACACTATATTTAAACCCAATTACCCCAATAATGATTTTGGCAAAGTTTGTTTAAAATTGGCCCGGTAGTTTCAGAGAACATTTTTGTAAAATTAACGGACGACGAACGCAAATTTTCAAAAATAGTTAAGGACAATTATTTCTATTTAAAAATGATTTTTTTCTATCTTCATAATCTGACAGGTCGATAAATCAAATTTTGACTATTTTCAATGTTAAACCTCTAAGGATGATTTACTAGTTCATGCTCAAAATGACTCTGTACCATGTTCCTAGATACATGCCACTGTCGTAATCTACATACAAACTAGCAGACTGAGTCAATCTTTGATGAAAGCAAACGTTAGTAAGTTTAAATGGATGAATTAAAAAAAAAACATTTGAAGAAATATCGTTACGATATTAGACAAGTTACGTGAGTTACATGATGTATATACATCTAGTTTGTCAAAGTTTTAAAGCTGTACATAAAACTGTATTGCCTACATGTATTACGTTTGCAGTTTGTTGAATTTTATTTATAAAATTAAGCTTCATAAACGGCTTACAAAAAATCAATCATGTTTTTACTTTTTATGTACCAAATCTTAAAAAACTGAATGCAAGACTTTATAAGCATTAAAACAATTATATTTGACTTACAGGTGCTTTTGTTACCATGTTTAGTTTGGCTTATTTAATAAGTCCTAGATTTTGCCACAGATTTGTTGGATACTTGGAAGAAGAAGCAGTAATTACATACACTAAATGTGTGCAGGTAAAATTTACATGTACTTTTTCATCGTAAATGAAAATCTTTGGTCTTCTCTAACCTCATATATAGTTGCCTCAGATATGTTTGGTTTCATCAGTTTTCCCTTCTTTTTATTGTAAAATTTTATGAGAATCAAATGATATTAAAAATCTAACGAAAAAAATACAACTAAATAATAAGGAACAACTTTATTTATAGAAATGTAACGATGCGCAAAAAAATAATGTGTGTGTGTATGTTGTAAAACATTTTTACATGGTCTTCTTGCAGGATATACATCATGGTTCCATGCAACACTGGAAGACACAATCGGCTCCAGAATCTGCTATTACTTACTGGAAATTACCGGTAAGAACTTTTACGCATAGTCATGTCTACCTGTAACAGCATGTAACTTGGTATTATTCTTAATTAAATCCATAAACACAATACATATATAGTCGACATTAGCGGTAGCATTTCCCCAGTCAGATTGTAGAAATGTGCAATCCCATTTTGTGTCATCTGTCAAATTCAATACTTTTAACTTGTGGTGAGAATGTAGCACTCCTCGCCACGGAAAGCAACAAATCAGAGGATGCCGTTTATAACATGTGTTTACTCTTCGAATATCATTTAAAAGTATCTGCTCCTACTCCATGGACACTATTATTAACTGATTTACTGTTACCCTTTTTCATTTCCTTGATCAATATTTTCTGCTAAGAATTAAACATTCAACTATCAATCAATCAACACAACGAAAAGTTTATGAAACGTCATGATCGGTAGGATTTGTTTTTATTATTATTTGCATCTATTTTAGGATAATGCCAAGATGTTAGATGTGATCCTTGCCATTCGTGCAGATGAGGCTCACCACCGGGTGGTCAATCACACACTAGCTTCATTGAAAGAAGATGACTACAATCCATATAAACCAGGAAAATGATAGCTAATACTATTATCGTGTTAAGTTGACCAATAAGATATCCAGACATGTTAGTTCTCGCCATCTGTCATTTTAAGGAAATAAAATGGTTTGAAAAAAGAATTGCCAGCCAGAATGGTTAGTCATGGACCGCTTTAAAAAACAGACAGATTTTTATACAAATGGATTTCAATCGTTTTTCTAATGTCTTTATGGCTTTTTTGTAAAAATACTCGGACTTTTTTCCTCCGTAATCTATGGAATCAAATGTTAACAACTGTCTAGTACTCCAATGTACTGTATCTATATAGACGTTTTATAAATTAAATCATTGTAATAAATGTTTTATAATCAACGTTATGTTAACGTTTTTCATGTATGTCCTGTAAAAACAATGGTTGTATCTGTTGAATTTGATTTTATATGTAAACAATCGTTTCGATAAAAGCCACAGTACGGGAAAGCACTGAATTTTTAAACCCTATCATTTCAATATTGTTTGAAACATGTTTTTTTTTTTGTTATGGGTTATTTGTTTTTATGAAGTTGTAAACAATAAAAAAAAATGAGAAAGATGCTTTCAATAAGACTTGTATAAAAATATAATTTGTACATTATTATAGAAAAAATGCCCAGTCTTAAATGTACCACAAACTGATCAGATTTGTCGTGTGTAGGCGATTGGAGTTAACAATATTACGATATATGTATGTCCGGCTACGGCAATTGTGGACTGGGTGGTCAATTATTTGTGTTGAAGCTGAATGTACTACAATTTAGACTTTTGTAGCTTGCTAAATGGTATGGATTGTTTTATAGTTTACCTCCTCGTCCCATGGTCCATATTTGTCTTTGAGTTAGTGGCAATCATATCGCATTATATTCTTATATTACAGCCTTTATAAAAAAGAAATTCGATGTCCAGTACGACTTAATACGCTTTGAAAAAGTGGTAAGGTAACTTACTCAGATCTTAAATCAGAACGGGGCCATTTTGTAGATAAAGTGGAAACCTAATTTGCATAATGATCTATAGTTTCAACCAAAATCCCTGAAACTTCAAAGATTGCACACATGTTGAAGCTGTACGCTTGCTATTATGAAGCGGGGATTTTTAAAACTTTTTCTAAACTTTGGAACTTGGTCTTTTTCATCAAAGATACTAAAGACAGTACCTATTTCGTGTAATCAACTTCTACTACAGTTCGTAACCCAGATCCCTGAAACTTTACCGCGAATGATTGCACATATTTTGCAATTGTGGACCTACTATAAGGGAATTGTTTGAAAATTTCCCCCAGTTTTTCCTGACTACGGAACTTAAGTCATTTCTTCAGCGAAACGTTCCATAGACAATAGACAAATCCGTGTTTTACCCAGAGCTTTCGAAATTCACTGACAGTTTGTAATCCTATTGAAGTTGTGCACCTTCCAATATGGAATTGTTTACAGATTTTTTTCTTCTCATTTCTATATTTTTTTAATTTTTTTTTTAAATGATCAATAAAGTCCTCTATTGTTTAAGAAAAATCTCGCCCATTTGAGTCTTAAATTTTGATAAAAGTCTATCAATCTAAACTAAAATTCATAGTATCAAAACTCCATTTGTGTACTTTGAGGTGCTAACAATATTGTAGACTATTATTAACAAATCGTAAAGAGGTGAAAACAGCTCAAGACCATTTTCTCTTACAGATTAAGGCAAATGTTGGTGTGTTTCCCATGTTTTTTTGTTGTTGGTTTTTTTTTTTAGGGGGGGGGGTCGTATTGTTCAGACTTTTCCTTAAAGGGTTTTGTAGACTTTTGCTCGTCTTTTCATCGTTTTCTATTTTTTGCCATGATATTGTCGCTTTTTCTCTGACTTATTATTTTTTTATTTTTTTTTATTGTCCCTTCGGTATTTTCAGCCCATTTTTAATATGTTTTACTATAACCAAAATCATTTTAGTTAAAAGATATCTTTAACCCCCAGTATTACAAAATTTTATCACAAATATAGAGATTGATTCACATGCACATGTCTCTGACCTTCAAATAAAACCAGGTTCTCAACTTTCAATTTCGTGAAAAGACACTCGTTATCGTTATTTTTCAATTCCGTGGTCGTCTATCGCAATAAAATTAATAATGCCATAAATCTACATTAATTTATCAACATTAATTTATCATCACGATGGTGTAAAACACGCCTGTCTTTGCTGTGGTGGTTCCAAGTGGTGAAGTTGAAATCGTCCCTTCGAAAAAAATTTGGACGCCATCACGAGTTGGTTAATCGTTATGGAATATCTGTTTCACAGATGGCGACGGATATATTCAAATCGTCTTAACCACAATCCCGTTTTCCTTTTCCACGAATTTGACCTACCGAAGAATACTTATCACCGGATTTGTACTAACAGGATCAACACGACGGGTGTCACATGTGGAGCAGGATCTGCTTACCTTTCCGAAGCACATTAGATCACCTCCAGTTTTTAGCGGGGTTCGTGGTGCTCAGTCTTTAGTTTTCTGTGTTGTGATTTGTATACTGTTGGTTGTCTTTTAGTATTTTTCTTTTTTTGCCATGGCGTTGTCAGTTTATTTTCGACTTATGAGTTTGAAAGTCCCAGTTCAATGTGAGATGTGGACATAGCTAAGGGTTGTCCAACTTGGAAGGCCTGCATCGGATTAATTCAGACAGAGAGGTGGGCGTGTTTTACAACATTGTGTAGATGAATTAATGTAGGTTTATGGCATTATGAATTTTAGCATACTGACAAGCTCAAACTGAGGCTATTTTGACATTTTTTTTTTTGCTGTTTTGCACTAAATGCAAGAAGACAAAATTCAAATATAAAAACACGGATTTCGGATAGACTAATGTCTTAAGAACATCTGAAGGTGTTATTTGGTCGATTTATAATACTTTTGATTTTTGAATTCAAGGGACCAAAAAAGTGGCCTTATCAAACCTTTACCTTTGCATATAAAAAAAAGTGGTGATTTTAAATAAATCTGCTATTTAAAACGCTGAAGCTGCCAAGACAATAAATGTTTAGCCTTTTCAACGAACCCTTTGTAGAACACGTAAATGAAATTCAAGGGGCGAACATTCATTGTTGTTCGCCATAGTAGATTCGCTAAAATTGACACGAACCTTTTGTAGAAATCGTAAAGAAATATCACTAAAAGAACTGTTTTCCTCTAATGTGAGTTAATATAATACATAAAGATATCTTTGAGTCACTTGTCCAATCATGTTGGTTTTTTTTCTCTACAATTATGTGTATTTCTTTGGAGTTCATGATAGAAAAATGTTGAGATGTTAAAGGAACAACAATGTCATAGCCGTAATAAAATAGACAAAATATGTATACTTGTAACGAAGTTCACAAAACATTACATTGAAAACCCGGTGAAGAATTCGGATGCTACTGGAAATAAGGCAGAGTTTGCCACTGGATTCTGCTCCACTCAATAGAACAAACATCATCGGGTACGTCTTGAGACAAAAAAAAATCGGTCGGACAAAACCAAAACCTTTAAAATTATTCTATGTTGCTACTCTACAAAGCCATATAAATTGACCAAAGACTGGTCCATTTGGACTCATCATGTTAGTAAATATACCGCGACATTGAATATTCTGCAACCAATTAAACAAGCCAATATATTCATATAGTTCTCGAACTTGAGAAATGTCTTAGGTTTACCTACTACAAGCTTAAGTTGTTAAAATTCTCTAGACCCCAATACCAGGAGAGGAGCAGGCGTAGAATTGTGTACATGTAGTACGTTATCGTATCTTGAATTACTCTAGAATTTAAGCGGTTAGCTGTAATCGAGTTTACCATGTAAATAAAGGCAACAGTAGTATACCGCTGTTCAAAAGTCATAAATCGATTGAGAGAAAACAAATCCGGGTTACAAACTAAAAAAGAGGGTCGCAATTCAAGTATAGATTTTGTAAATTAACACAATGTAAACTTTTTCTGGTTTAATTACCAAAACCTAAATTTTTTGTTTATAAGTAATAACACTTCTATCATGTTTGGCAATTGAACGAGAGAAAGACAAGATAGAACAGCGATGCATGTATTAAATACACATTCAGGACGTTATTACAACCCCGTGAATTTCGGTACGGGTTACATTAAAGTCTGTTGGTCAATAATCGACACTGTGGCTGCTTTAAACGAAAGACCGTCTACAGTAAATACAAATTTATTCACAAGTGTACAGTTTGAAAGCTAGGGGAAGACTGCCCAAGCAACAGTTTACAAAACATACATTAATTCAAAGTTAAGGGTATTAAAACATTATAAAAGGTTCTCATAAAATATAAATATAATTGTCTAATCTTATGCAATAATAATCGGATTATTGTCCTCCGGCTTAACTCAGTAAAATAGCGATAATTGCTTCTTTTGTAGTTGAGTGTAAGATACATGTATTATCTTTCGCCCTTTAGACAGCCATCGGATTAAGTTGTAAAATCTATAATCTCTTTGGGTATTTGAAATAAAGAAACATTATATTTAAGAATAAATAAACATTTAGAACAAGAAATATTCAACTTAAAACTAAAACGAGAAACATTCAATTTAAAACGAGAGTTTATATAAATATTCAATTTAAAACGAGAGTTCATATAAAGCACTTTGCAAATTATAGTAAAAGTTCCTAGTGTCACTTTTCTTCCGGTTATATTAGCGCGAATGGGTCAGTGTATCTAATTTACACCAATATATTAGTGTCAATGCAGAATGATAGTTTTCAATAATTTAGGTGGATGGTCTTTCAGCCATTTGACCATATGGTATTGAAAAGCATGATAAATGCAGGGCATCCAATCTCATTTAACGACATATTAGTGTAAATTGCCATACAAAAGCCGCCGTGACAGGCTATCAATTTGATGACAGGAAAATAGACCCAATTAAGATTTCATTCCAAATGCCTAAAAATAAAAAAAATATTCTGAAAGTGATACTGCATCTGACAAAAATAAATAAAGAAATGTTTTACTATCACTTTAAATCTTTCAGTTAATAATTTTTACGTGTAAACGTGAGATCAACAGTTCGTTAACCTCGGTATGTAAACGAAACTTCTCGATGTGTGACGAAATCCATAGGTTACCTGCATCAGATTTCTATAGTTAGTATTCCATTATTTCGTCATAATTTAGTAAATCAATCGAGCATACGAATAATTCCATTGAATAGTTGTAAGGAAATTTTTGTTTCATTTTGTGACTTTATTCTTTATTTTTGACATGATGACGTATATACACCGGCTATCCCTATGTCAGTGTTACTAAATATAGAACACTGAGCAAATCGATACAAGGAAATCCGTGATTGTAAATCTCGTAGAAGCTTGCATCAGCGGGTCATTGAGGTTGAAATTATACAATATATTAGCGCGAAAAATATTATAGGCACACAATACTACATAAACAATAAATAATGTCAGTCGTGAGAAGCTTATGTCGGTGCGGTTTGCAAAGTCAAGGTTTGATTAAACAAATTGGATTGGTAAAACCCTTGATCGGAAATGTTGATAATGTGTCTCTAGTTCAAGTAAGTGATAAAAATATAATATTGTACAAGTCTTCTTTTTCAGTTTTAATATAACATTAGAATCATTCCACAAAAAATAAGATTACCCGGAATACCTTTTTTATCGCCTAATATAACCGTATCAAGTTGATTGATTGATTGTTTGTTTGTTTGTTTTTTTTTTTTGCTTGCTTAACGTCCAGTGTCGAATATTTCATGCATATACAATATACATATATCTACTACCACTTGCAGTTTGTACCGCTGCCGATAAAACTGCCGTCCATATATTTCATTTGTACTTATATAAGGGAGGGGAAACTTTTTTATGTATCTATACAGAAAACTGTAGTTGTTTTCATGCCTCCTTTGATATTTAAGGTCCAGAAGCTCTTTTCACAAAGAATCTTACGACCGCAGCTTACGACAACAATCGCGTAAGTTATACTGAAATGTTCATTACTTACCCGAGTATTTTGTCAAGATTTTTTGTGAAACGAGTCGCATTTATGGTCGCGTTTAGTTGTCACTAATTGTACACTTTGTACGTCATGAAGGCTGTCTGTCATCAGTTGTTTTTTTAATTTTTAATTTTTTTTTTATATTTTTGAGCTGATTGATGGTCAAAATCAAAGATCGATAGGACAATGCGATTGCGAAAATTTTCACATATATTAATGTCGAAGATGTAGAGCTGGGCAGGCTTTTGTTTCACAAGAAATGTTAAAATAAAAATGACTCGTTAGTTTTGTCCAGAATCTTTTCGGTGTTTATGACTATATGTGTCTATATATATTTTTTGGGGTTTTGTTTTGTTTTTTTTTGTATTGGTTTTTTTTGGGGGTTTTTTGGAGGGGGGAGGGAGGGGTGTTGTCAATATTACTGTTGAATTATTTGTCACACATTATTTTTGTACTAAATTTTATATTCAAAACTATCTAATTATGTTGATTTCTATTACAGTTTATTAACGGGTAAATTTCGTATGCACCAGGCATATTTAATTTATTTAATAGTAATTTCATAATGAATTTAAATGTCCGAAATATTTGTTTACACCTGAAACATGTTAGATTATAAATTTATATGTGTCAATACTTATGGTCAAGATTGAACTTAAATCTTACGGTTATTCAATATTTCTATTTGATCAATTATGTTTAGTTCAATACACAAGCGTGTAAATAATTTCTCTTTGATAAACGGAATCAATCTGTTATCTAATTTCTGTGGACAAAATGACCATTACAAACTTTGTTTTTAGCAACGCTATTTGGTATATAAAGAAAGATAATTTTTTTTATTATGGAACTCCGTTTGGATATGCCAACGAGAGCACATGAACTTCGTTAGGATTTTCCAATGCAATCAGATATGTTAATTGTTTTTGGTTTAAATTACTGATTTGTATAACACTGTTATTTTATATTTGGACTCTTATTAAATGAATTTGGACTGTACCAATTTGTTTATGTTTATTGAATTGGACAGCCGATTTAGATGTGAATGAACTGTGATATATTCCAATCCATTATCTAAAACCCAATATCTCATATATTGGTACCAAAACATCTAACCTAATATTACAAGTTCGTATCTTGTGGTACAATAATAACAGACTACGTATACAAAAGCTAGTTCCCCCAGCTTTAACGCCATCCCGCAGACGGGATCCCACTCAAAGCCATTCCGGCAATATTTATTAGGGAAAGTAACAAATTCTTTCTTGATATATTTACAACTTGGGTCGACTAGGGGCGACTTTAGACTTGATCTTGTCTTTAGTTGAGACTATAAACATGATAAAGTAACCTAGACATTGAGTAAGAGTTTATGGGATATAGATTTCCATCTTTACAGTTACTCACGGATAGATTAAGGTTTTATTTCAGTCCTTTCATGATATTTTTTTTTATTATATCTCTCTCATTAATTCTAAAAATATCTGCTATTATTCTTCTTCTTCATTTTCTAAGGGACTCAGTAGTGTTCGAAAGTTAGCAACTCAAAGGGAAGTAGACGATAATATACAAAAATTCAAAGCAGGAAATTATGAAACCATTCCAGACCCCAAAAGTTTGCAGCACTTCAAGTAAGTTAAATTAGTTCAAATAAAAAATCAATAATGCGTGTATATGTAAATGGCAGTTGGTAAAATGTGAAAGTTTCTGACAAACGAAATATGCATATTATTATCCATGTACGTTTTATACAAAGTACTATACAAACACTCTTTGAGTCATCTATGTTTTTTGTTGTTTGTTTACTCCTATGTTTGTTGCTTAAAACAATTTAAATTTCCTTTGCAGCCTTTTAGTAATTCATATTTTAAAACACGTTTCCTTGTCGCATAACGACATTTTAAGCATCCGTCAGCTACTAATATACAAGCTTTTCAATTTGTTCGATATTTGATATGTACATTTTACTAGAATCATTTAAGAATTGAATGCTTCTTTTTGTAAATTTATTCGGGTGTAAAAGCGTTGACAGACTGAGTACATTTTGTATGAAGCGCGGAAGTGCTTCATTCTAAAAATGTGCGCATGCACGGTCAACGCTTTTACAACCCTATAAAATTACCAAAAGAAGCATTCAATACTGATAAATACCTCCAACACGATAGATTTCAACTCTCCATACCTACATGTGCCTACTTGTCAATGGTTATTTAAGGTTCACTGACATTTAGAGTTTGGCATCGTTGCTTATTTTTAAGTCGTCGATATGTTTTTGCAGGAAAGCATTCCTTAGGAAATTTTTATTTACCTCCACCGCGTAATTTCAGTATACTGAACTAATGAAAGTACTTTCTCTTGTAGGAAAAGCGAAGATAAGATATCAGCAGTTGTATCAGGAGACCCTCCTCCAATTGGCACACACGCATTACCTCATCCAATATGGTAGGTTCACTCTTTATGGCCATCGTATTGTTTTTTAACACAAGTTTTTCAACCCTTTATGTTTACCAACCAATCACAAGAACATATCAATATCTCCAGAACCTTACATATGACGTGGAGTTTTGATCAATTTTGTGGAAGAGGATAATGTTTCAACTATTTACTTTACAATATTGTTAATAATATCGATCTAACGAGCAGAAATATTGCAGTCAAAGCGGGACAAATATTAGAAAACAGGATACAATTTTCGTTAAAACTCGAACCGTAATAGGCATCTAAGTGAAATTTTCTTTTTATCTTTGCAATATTTTGCAGCCTAAATAGACCTAGTGTTGATGAATTAGTATGATTCATTCTTTCCGAGAGTTGAATGGCCCTGTCCTCAAATTAAGAAACTACTGTTTGTAAAAATTAAAAATAAGCAATTGATATGCGCTATATGAATTAGTTTTGACAGGATTTGTTAAGATGGTCGTTTTCGCGTTTAATAAAAAAAAAACTACGTCATGCATCCATTATTACTTTAATTGCATACAAGTGATAGGTCACGATTTTTATATAGAGTAATTGAATATTGTTAATCGTCCAACAGGACGTTGTGGGAAACTATACTAAAAACATAACATTTCACAAAAACTAAAAAAAACCTGAATCATCCCACGCTTTTAGTTTACTCATAGAAATGTATCTGATGATGAGATCTGTCACTTTAGATAAAGAATTTAAAGATTAACATTACTGGTACTCAAATCGGGTCAATTTTATGCATATTTGCAATATAATAAAAACAAGTTCTCAAGCTTTTCTATATTTGAATAATTGTCCCTCAACTCTCTAAATTTTCTAGGACTAAGATTAGGCATTTTTTAATGATATCTGTATTGCTAGTTTTATTATCTATCAATTGAATGTTGTAAATACATGTTTAGACAAAAGTACAATATTCCTCCTCGAAAAAGAAATAAATATAAAGATTTTGAATTTCTTATGTGTAGTAACGACAACAAACAATCAGATCTTCACATCCTTTTCTCAACACAGGTCTGAAGGAGAACTCCACAGTGTTCAAGTCACACACAAGCCACCAGAGGGTATAGTTGACAAGGCAAGTTTTTAATTATAATAAGTAAACGGCGATTTATCGGATAATTTGATATCGTTGTAAATCATTTTATAGTTTAAGGAAGGTAATAAATATTGTAAGGTTTATTTCTGAAAATATTTTATTTGGAGAAAAAAAAGCACACGCTTCATGAGAAAAATGAGCTTTACAACATAGAACCAAATAGGTATTTTGTGTACCAACATGAGCAACACGACGGGTGCCACATGTGGAGCAGGTTCTGCTTATCCTTCCGGTGCACCTGAGATCACCCCCAGTTTTTGATGGGGTTCGTTTTGCTTAGTCTTTAGTTTTTTATGTGTTTTGTGTACTATTGTTTGTCTTTTTCTTTTTTAGCCATGGCGTTGTCAGTTTATTTTCGATTTATGAGTTTGAATGTCCCTCTGGTATCTTTCTCCTCTCTTTTTTAACTCTCTATTGTTATACTGTGATCAGTTAAATCTGGAAGAAAAGACTAAAATTTAAAAAGTCAATAATAAGATAAAGCATTATACAGTTAGAACTAATTATAATAATTGAAACATATTGTAGAGGACTGAAGTCTGGCAGAGTGATTTTATTCTCTTACACTTCTATATTTTTGTAGATGGCATACTACAGTGTAAAAGTAATGCGAAAGACCTTTGATACCCTGAGTGGTTTCAACAGAGGGGAAAGAAACGAACGCAGATGGGTTTTGTAAGTTTTTGATTAGTTTTGTTGGTTCATCGAGACAGAAAATAATAATAGTCATGAATGTGTATAATTGGCATCCATATCACTTGCATGCGTATTTTACAACAATATTTAACAAATAATTCATGGAATTGAGGGGCATCTCCCAAAAAACATATATATATGCCAAAGAGTGGGGGGGGGGGGGGGGGGGGGGGCGGGGGGGGCTTCCATTTTACACGAATTGCCGTGAATTGTTGTTACATTATACAGTGTTGAATCAAAACAGCAAGATTCCCTTTTCATTGTAAATCTGAAATATATTACAAATGATTGCTTTTATACAAACTGCAAAACATTACATGGAATATCTCTGTATGCTCAACATATGTATGCAAATGAGCAACTTAAGAATATAAGCTCACGAAAATAGTCATTCCGTCTTCACCGATGATTTAAATGGGTGATAATGGAAGCACTTTGAAACGTCTCTTTTATTGTAAAAAAATATTTCCCGTCTTGTGCATTATCTAAATAACAGAAAACAATTACGTGACAACATTAGACACATTTTTTGCAGAGCATGTTTCTTCTTCGTGAATAAATTGCTTGCTTTCTAAAGGTCTTGAAAAAAGTGCAATCACCCAAGCAAAAGAATTTTACAAAGATTTTCAAATATATTCTAAATGACATAAATTCTCAATTGATATATGCATGAAGTTAGAGCATAATGTGTAGATCGTTGATGAAATTAGAGCATAATGTGTAGATTGTTGATGAAGTTAGAGCATAATGTGTAGATCGTTGCAATGTCAAGACTGAAGAACAAATTTATATTTCTATTTTTCTTTACAGACGAATATGTTTTCTAGAAACAGTTGCTGGTGTCCCGGGTATGGTGGCCGCCATGTTAAGACATTTAAGTTCTTTAAGACGAATGCAAAGAGATTATGGTTGGATCCACACACTTCTAGGTAAACTTTGTTACACGTTTTCTTAAGAAAATGTGATAAGATGTACATTATCTAGATAATTATAAAAAAAATAATGTGCCTATGACAACGTAAGAAGGGGAACAACACATTTAATCATATAATGTTTTGTAAAAAGAATATAATGATGCAATGTAAATATATTTCCCTTCAGAATTCAGTCCTTCTCAATTCACAAATTATTTCATTAGATTAAAGTACGACCAGAAAACTCGAGTACTCTATATTTATGGCCACTAGTATTTTATAAAAGGTCCCACTTCAGTTATTTTAAGTACATGGTTCCCTTATGACTAAATTCAGCTATACTTTTTCGTTGCAGAGGAAGCAGAAAATGAAAGAATGCACCTCATGACAGCATTACAGTTACGTCAACCCAGTCAATTATTTAGACTTTGTGTTGTAGGGGCACAAGGTAAATTGTTACATTTATATGACTATTCTATGATGCAATTTGTGCCGTTTTCATCTAAACGTGCAACGTTTTGACCCTTTGGTATTATTCATCCCTCTTTTAAGATTGACATCCAATTCTTTGTTATTGATGCTAAATTTTGTATGTTTTTGATACCACATAGCAGAGAATCCAATACTTCCTTTACTCAAGACAAACACACTACCACGAGACCATTGTGTGTCATATGTTACGTCTTGAAACTAAATTTTCACAAACTTAAAGATCATTTCAGTATATCGTAACAAAGAAAATTCATTGTTTCTCTATTTTACAATTTGAATGGTAAGAATTATTCACATCCGACATGAAACATTACCCAATTCATAAGTAATTCATTTTTCTCTTTTTAAAATGTTCATAATCTCACTATTAAGACGATGTTTGTATTATAGGTACTTTCGTGACTATGTTTAGTTTAGCTTACTTAATGAGTCCAAGATTTTGTCACAGATTTGTTGGATATTTGGAGGAAGAAGCAGTGATAACATACTCTAAATGCTTACAGGTAAATCATGCACATGTTTTGTTACAAAGTATTTTAAATTAAATTATATTGCATAAAGAAAAATACGACATGAGAGGTTTTTATGTTAATTATCCGTCTGATAGCATTGCTTCGTGTAGTTTTCTGGGTTTACGATAGAGACCGTTTATTGAAATCTGTTTTGCTACTCCTCTTACATGCATGTTCAGTTAAATAATTTTGTATCCAATTTATCAATTTAGAAATAAGGAAATGTGGTATAATTGCCAATGACACAACAACTTTCAACATCATCAGAGACCGTAGACTATAGATTACCGTACCGCATTCAACAATGAGCAAATCACATACTCATAGTAAGCTATAAAATGACCCGGCATGACGAAATGTGAAACAATTTAAACGAGAATAACCATCGGCCTGATTTATGTATTAATTAACTAATTGTTTAAATTACAGGACATACAGAAGGGTTCAATGCAGCATTGGAAGACACAGGTTGCACCAGAAATTGCAATTAATTATTGGAAGTTACAAGTAAATATTATATTTTTTACATTTAATCGAAATAATATTTGTGTACATGATATAAATGAAATACCACTGAAAGTATAAATTCTTCGAAAAGTTTCAAAATACATCGTGTACAAAATAAATTTTCAAATTGGTACAGCTGAATAATGTTAATTCTATCACAAGATAGTAAACGAGGGTATTGCTATTGTCCTCATATCATGCAAATTAACTTCATTGTTCTTCAAAACACTCAAATAAGACTCTTTATGTGAGCATTTATAATTATACATTTTTAGTTAGTTCATTAATTTACGTAAAGAAATAATATGAAGCAATTTTTATTGACTTTAGGAGAACGCCACGATGTTAGATGTGATCCTTGCCATTCGTGCAGATGAGGCTCATCACAGGGTTGTCAATCACACGCTAGCTTCATTAAAGGAAGATGACTACAATCCATATAAACCGGGACAGTGAAAAAACCCACACGATTCCAGTCATTCATCATTTCGTGGGAAACCAGATTGCATGAGACAAAAGTGCCATGCAAAATGCAAAATAGTTCTTGTTGTTTTCATCATAACACGTCACAGGTACTTTGCAATCAAATGATTGAAACATCAAACAAACGATGAGTTAAAGGGAGGAACATAGTCATGTGTGAAGTTTGATGGTATACATTGAATTGCAGAGTGCAGTCACATCATAATAAATAGACACGAAACAGTACAAGAAAGAGATCCATAAGTTAAGGATTTTTCTTATGGAGATAAGTTCGACATGATAACAATATATGAAGTACTATTTAAATCTTTAATAGGGAGCGTTATCATTATTTTTAGTCATTATGTTTTACTCGTTTTGTTCAATATAAACTAGAATCTCTTACTCTTCTACAAAACTTATTTTTGTTATAGTTCATTTTGTTAACATTAAGAAGCAAGAGATATAGGTGTTGTTTTTGTTAGCAATTTATGAATGTTTTTCTTGTTGAAAACAATTGCATGTTACATTACTGTATACTTGAAAGAGAAAGGCTGTTATAAAATGGACTAAACACGTTATAAATTGTGTGCGTCTGAAGCGCTTTACTGGATTTACCTTTGTTATAAACGCTCAAACCTAAACATCCGAAAGTCAGGGATGTGTAAACACAATCAAACCTAAACATCCGAAAGTCAGGGATGTGTAAACACACTCAAACCTAAACATCTGAAAGTCAGGGATGTGTAAACACACTCAAACCTAAACATCCGAAAGTTAGGGATGTGTAAACTCACTCAAACCTAAACATCCGAAAGTCAGGGATGTGTAAACACACTCAAACCTAAACATCTGAAAGTCAGTGATGTGTAAACACACTCAAACCTAAACATCCGAAAGTCAAGGATGTGTAAACACACTCAAACCTAAACATCCGAAAGTCAGGGATGTGTAAACACACTTAAACCTAAACATCTGAAAGTCAGGGATGTGTAAACACACTCAAACTTAAACATCCGAAAGTCAGGGATGTGTAAACACACTCAAACCTAAACATCCGAAAGTCAGGGATGTGTAAACACACTTCACAACGTTAGGAGCTATATGACTTAAAAACCTATACAGAGTAGCCAAAATAATAAGGGATAATAATCATCATGGTTTCATATCTTTGGAGTACTATGGAGGCAAAAAGAAAGAATTTTTTTTTCATATTTCGTATACCCCCAATAATAAACAAGTTTTCCGAGTCAAATTTCGAGACATATCGATGAATTTTATTTCACAATCAATTAAGTCGAGTTGAAGAATATATTTTTTTTTCAAAATCGGTTACATTTAACCGTGATTTGATAATCAAAGACAGACAACCCGACTATGGTTTACAAACTAGCAACATTATTATGTTTTATATTTGTAAAGGTGCTTCTGAAACCTAGGCAGTGTAATTCCCATTACAAATTGCCAATTCTTTTACAATTATTATCGATGGGAAAGCAGCTTTGACGGTTCAATTTGTAGTCCAACTGTTTTTACAGAAAATATTCGAATATTTTTCAACACATTTTGTTTCGGCTTGTATGCTAGTATTGCACAAAAGACGAAATTTCTACATTTCACATGTGAAGGTTGAATTTTGCGCTTTTTATTTTATATTTCAAAGAGTTTGTTGTGAATTAAACTAGAATAGCAAATTTTCACTAGCAAATCATCAAATATAACAATACCTATCGATTATATTATCGATGGGAAAGCAGCTTTGACGGTTCAATTTGTAGTCCAACTGTTTTTACAGAAAATATTCGATTATTTTTCAACACATTTTGTGTCGGCTTGTATGCTAGTATTGCACAAAAGACAAAATTTCTACATTTCACATGTGAAGGTTGAATTTTGCGCTTTTTGTTTTATATTTCAAAGAGTTTGTTGTGAATTTAACTAGAATAGCAATTTTTCACTAGCAAATCATCAAATATAACAATACCTACGGAAATAAAATAAATGTTCAATACACATTTAGGTAAATATGAATAATAGAATAATGTTAAAACCATGGAGACAGAAAATAGGGTAAATTTTAGAGAAATAGTGTTCATGTTTATATCACCGGAAGTTTTTTTTGGGGTTTAATTTTTTTTTGCTTTATTAACTCAAAGTGGGACTACCAATATATTGCTATGGCGAGTCTTACACGTGACGACAAAATTTCCATGTGCTTGTAACAGGAGTTTTAAAACTGCATTACACCTAGTCCATATAGTTATTTGGTATTATCGTCGAAAACTTGTGTCAGTTTCTTCAAGGCTGGTACTTCTTGCCGGTCTCTTTGATTCTGTTAATTATGAAGGTGTTCATATTCTAGTCAGAGAAACCTAGCTTTAGAGCTCAGTACTTCGTGATCTTGCCGCGGGTATGTCGAACAATATATTAACGGGAATTTTTTCGGTTTGTACTGTACAAAGTCGGACTGTCAATACCCTTTACTTTATTATCAGGGTACGGACAGAACCAGACCAATGATCTAAACCGACTTGAAAGTAATATGCAAAAGTATATCTGAAACACATACTTCACAGAAAATGCCAAGAGTCCAACATAAACAGTGCTTCTTTGTGATGTGTGAAAACACTTGCATCAAAATCAGAAAAATGTAAAAGATTATTTAGCCGAATTTACAAGTTAACTCTTATTCACTTAAAATATATTGTATAAATGTTTATTTTATTTCCAGTTGTATAAATCTTTCGTGTCATATTTATGGAAAAGTAATATTTGAACGATGCACATAACATAAGACAACCAATTCAGATGATTTCCATCCAAACTTAATCTTAAAATGTCAACTTCTCAAAACGAAAAAGTAAATTTAAAAGTAAGAGCAAATTCTGTGTAATCAAAATGACAAACATATTGTCATAGAAATAAAATATTTTCTTTTTTATTTGAAGGGTTGACCATTATAGTCATTTTGAATCACTATGTCCTGTTGCAATAGCCTAAGTAGTTTCAATAATCACAGAAAGTGAAAAACTAAGACTGAATATATACACGAAGAATGAAGGTATCGACGACGACGACGACAATTATGAATTATCGTAACAAGAACATTTAACAAACAGCTAATAATCCATATTACCTGTTTGTGTTTTCGTGATAACGAAAATAAAACGTCTTTGATGCCTGAAGACATAAATTGGCATATGTATTTAGTCAATAATGTCATGACTGAATAATCTAGTTCAAGTGCATCAAAAGCGGCTTAATGTTTACATTATGCGAATTAATTTCATTTTTACGGTTATCCAAATACAGGACAATCATAAATCATTTATTCTAGAAGCCAGAATTCAGGTGTATGAGTTTCAAAACTAATATTTATAATTCAGATACAAAGAAGGTACGAAAAGACCACTCTTTTGGGCCTCTTGGATTCGAGATTCAAACAGTATTGTAAATCTTCCAAATAACATCCCTCAGGTGTTCATAAGATATAAGTCTGTCGGACATAAGTATTCATATTTTTGATATTGTCCTACATAGAGGCATTATGGATCCAAAACACCAAAAAATACCAAAATAGCCTAATTTTGAGAACCTATCATTGATACTTAGATATGAGCAACAGCTCTAACCAAAAAGATATTTTGCTACATAATATATTTTATAAAGATGATACCGTGTAAAAACATTTTTTTGGTAAAGATTTTGTTCATATCGTTTTTAACAAAAAACATGCGCAAAATCGCCATTTTTGTCAAATACGTTATAGTAGTGTCCAGATTATATTATCCCGTTCATTTATCAATACAGTCAACATAATTCTGAAAAGCTTGAATAAGTTTATTTATTTTCAATTTCAGGGGTCCTTTTGTGACATGATAAAATCAAATTGAATGTTATAGAGTAAATGGGAATGTATGCTATGAGCCATCATTTGGCCACTGAAACTGCATACAATAGTACTGGTAAAAGTTCTCCAATCCTTTTAAAATTGTGTTAATTTTATCAATAATTAAATACTAGTAGTATGGCTACAATCTGGACACTTAAGAGCCTACATGGGAGTTAAGATAATGGAAATTAAATTGACATTATATGGCTGTTGTACACATAGTTTGGGGCCAAAATTGTTATGGGATATTTCATCAACATTAAAATGGTTTATGATAATTAGTGAAGTACAATATCTCAAAGTTGATGACAAGTTCTCAAAATGAGGGAGTTTGGTAGATCTTGCAGTTTGCATGAAACACAAGAAGTTTAAAGCCCTGCAGAAATACTCAAGACAAAATTTACCAAAAAATTGTATAATAGCATCGCACAGGTCAATCAATTTGTTGTTGGCATCTAAAAGGTGTTATAAGAAAGATAATTTATAATTTTGAGTTGAATTATACATGATTCAGGCTTTTACAATCTAACGTGATTGCGTAAAAAAACCAAAGTATTTTCAATTATTTCCCAGAAATGTAATGCATGCAGTATGATATGACTGTTTCATTGTATGTAACGTTTGAAGGTTTAATTCTAACTAAACTCTTTTTCATACCTTTTTCAAAGTTCAATTCACCTTTTTCAAGAGGCCCAAGTATAGATTAGTTGCAACAATTATGGACGTTGCGAACCATAAGCTATTCAAACCCGTAAAAACTACTTCAAAAGATCAGGAAAACGCAGTAACATACCTTCTACTCCATCCATATCGTATGTTAAATATTTCAGTTAATATGTTACACTCGTGCATGTTCACAACATACAGACTTCATTAGCAGGGTTGTTCACATTACATAAAAACTGCTCCAACAGATTTGGTTGATCGATGCCATGTGTCGGTGTCTCAATTCACTAGAGATGTTTTCGCGGTCTGAGATCTTTAGATACAAGTAAAATCGTTTAATCTGTAATTTTACCGTTTGTGTTTTATTCCCGCTTGTAATATTTTGATTGAGTAAGAATTCGCATGGCGGAGGATGTTTTCTAAGCAGGAGACACTTACCCTGTCGACGCACCCGATCTTACTCATTTTGGAGTTCATGAGAATTTCTCAGTTTAGATTTATTATCTAGATATATCTCTTCTAATCGATATATATATATATCTGAACATCGGGAAACTACTATCGGCTTAATTTATATGATTACATTTTTTGTTCGATACAAAGATAATTTTAGTCAAATTAACTTTCATTCATGAACAATTAATCTCATGTAGTGGTGGTATTTATTTTTTTTATGTGATGAGAATTAACGTATCATAACGTTTTCGATGTTATGTTTAATGCAAACTTTCATCCAAGTCTCATGCAAATAAGTGATTATAACTTCGTGTTTTCAAATCTACTTGAAATGTTGACATGATTTATAACAAACCTTTCTAAAAGTATCCGTTAATAAGTTTTGAAATTATTAGAAACTGAGATTTCAACTCCCTCAGGAAAAGTTGACCGTAGAAGGATTTGGCTTTTTTGTGTCCTTTTTTGTTTGTTTGTTAAATAGCTCTTATTCATCCTTGGCTTTCAAAGACTCGGCTTTGAGCGTTCCTGATGAAGGTAAATCCAGAAAAGTGCTTCGGACGAATGTAATTTATAACGTGTTGTTTTTCCTTTTTTACAGTACTGGGTCGAAACTCTGCTGGTGGACTGCAAGTCCCCGAGGGTATCGTAAGCTCAGAAGTCAGTACTTCGGCACTGACATGATTCATAACAAACCTTTCTAAAAGAGTCCGTTAATAAATTTTGAAATTATAAGAAACTAAGATTTCAACTCCCTCAGGCAACTTGACCTAAGATGGATTTGGCTATTTCTTAGGTCATTTTTGGTAATATAGCTCTTCAACTGTTTCGGTTCTTATTCATCATTGATTCGAGCGTTCCTGATGAAGTTAAATCCAGAAAAGCGCTTGGGACGCATGAAATTAATAACGTGTTGTTTTCATTTTTGTAACTTTTATATCTCATCATAATCGCATAAGATCTCCTACTTAGTAAATTGAAAACCACATTTTCACATTTTTGTAATGTATTCGAACAAGACTTTGTGTGCCCGTCCATAGCAAAGACCTGTAATCGAGTGTTTGTCGTTGGTTACTGTGTGTCATATTTATTCCTCGTTTATTGAAGTAGCATAAATCAGACCGTTGGTCTTTATTGGATAGTTGTCTCAATGGGAATAAAACAACACTTTCTTACTTTTATAATTATCTGAATGCATAGTGAAC